TGTTTTATGGTAATATTTGAGGGTATTAGTATGTTGGATTATACGTAGGTGTACAGCCGCAGTCCCGGACGTCTATGGCGAGAAGCCCTCATGGTGGTGATTTAAAGGGATACTACAACGAAATTTCGGCGTTCATTTTTTGGTCTATATGTGTTCAAAGGAGCAGCGTCACATCGAACATACCAATATCTTGTTAAAAAAGCCACGAAAAGGAATTTTAATACGAATTAAACGATTAGCAAAGAGCTCCTGGATGATGTCGCTAACGCCTCGCTTGTAATGCCGGTCTAGGAACCTGGACAGCTAGTGACGGAAGTTGTCTTGCCTCCGGCCACGACGATAGAAGAGGGGCAGGAGGAATTCCCCTCCTCCCGAGAATGCCTTTTGTGTGTCGCAGAAGTCGCTATTGTCCCCCTACAAGATTACAGAAGATTAACCTGTCACTCAAAATTCGTACAAAAGCAGCCGCTTCGGTGGCTGGAACGACTAGGCCATCCTCTCGACGTCAGCCTCGCCGTAGCTTTGCTCGTCTTGAGACGACCTACCTCACGATTGCGTTGGATGTCACGTGGTCTCCACTGGGCCTTCTCTGAGCGCTTGCCAGAGCGGGTCGTTTATAGCAAAAAATACAGCCACCAGGCTCAAAATACAAACTTGCGATTGTCATTTACGGACATTGTGGATTATATTCAACCTATTTTTGAACACGACGGGAATATTTCAAATTTTGTTGAAGTATCCCTTTAAGAGAAAGGTGATGCTCTCGGAGTCTCACATTCACAGAGCGGCCAGATATCCAACGTACACTTTCCCTTTTATGAACGGAATTTCATACAGTAAATTTGTGTTGCAGATGACGTACTTATGTGTATGATTGAAGGTGCATTGTTTATTATTCTCAATTAGCAAGTTACAGTTGGAACACATAACATCAACGAAATTATGAGAACAAAATGCGGCCGGCTCTGATACCCTACATTGGTAACATATCTCACAACTTGAAACGGATAGCGTCAAAGTACGAAGTACCGTGGTATTATCAGCACCGAGCAAACTAAAAAAAAAAAAGCACCCTGAGATTAATTCGCTAAATGAAATTAACAGACGATGTACCGTCAATCATACAGATAAGTACATAATACGCAACACCAATAGAGTGTATGAAATTCCGTCCACACGTGGGAAACTATGCGTCGGACAATCTGGCCGCTGTGTGAACTTCGAGAGAATCATATTTCTCTTAAGTCATCAACATCGAGGCTTCTCGCCATACGCCTCTAGGGCTACAACCGCACACCTATATTTCAATGGACTAAAATCCTCAAGCGCTACCATAAAGAGATCCAGAGAACTCTATGAGGGAAAAAACCAGCCTGTCTCAAAAAGAAGCTTGCGCAAGCACACCATCAATAGCATTGCCTTAAAAAGAGATGCGTTGCCTCCACCTTTTTTTTAACCCAGGTCACTTTATTTTTCGCTAACTCCATCTTTGACATGGGTTGCTTTTGTTCATACTTTCAATTTTTTTTTTTTTTAACGTGCTCTCTTTGGCTCTTTTTTACTTTTGCTAGTGTAAAGGGGTGAAGTCAGATTTAATTTTAATTTTTTAGTGCATATATATTCTGTAACATGTATTTTCCTCCTCTTTCCACTTCCACATGTCCAGTTTCCACTTTTATGTCTTCCTCGGGGAATGGATTACACCAGTTGGAAGAAGCGCTCTGTCCTGTCCCCTCTGATTTTTCATGGTGTTCACGTCTCGAGCGCCAACGATTTTTTCGAAAGTCTCGGGTTTGTCCAGTGGTTCGTGACGTTGGCTGGAGAAGCACTGAAGGCATCTGGTGGACGCACGCGCTTGCGTGAATATAGCATCACGGGATTCTCCGCGAAACGGCTTCCCGTGACACCCAAATGTGTCGGGCGCGCCTTTCGTTCATTTGAGTCTCCTGCCCGCACACTGTGGTGAGAGAACGTTTGCTGATGAGGCACGTTTGGACGACTCCCGGCGAAATCGAGGATAGGTTTGTCTTCCCTGAAACATAAACATGCCTGAGTTTTGACTCTCAACCTCTGCGATCTTAATGCCTCCTCAAAAACAGCAACAACCTCTCGTTGGACTGGCCGAGTGTGCGTCGGGGCCTGTACCCAGAGGGATTCGGACGAAACCCTCATGGAACAGGGCAGGCTCTGACTCACAGTCCTAACCTCTGACCGATAGTGTGAGCCTCGAGTTTGAGTGGGCCTGAGCGGCCCAGGAGTCATCTCCCGCAGTTCGCCGCGTTACGTCTGTGGTGCGCCACAGGTCCTTCTCTGCGGCTTAGCCGCCGTTCTCACCGTGCGTAGTAGTGCGCTTCACGGTGAGGCGTCCCCTTTTTTAACTGATTAACTATGCAACCTGTGCGCGGCAGTTAGTTGCAGCCTGTCATTTCTTTTGTGTAACTGTTTTATTATTGTTGAAGTAAAGTTTATTTTTATCAGTTGTATTTATTACAACCTCTCCTCCAAGTCCGTTAACTCTCCGCCATCGGCCACCCCCCAACAAGAAGTCTTTTTCTCCAACCAACATCCGGACCTCATCTTCGACGATCAGACCCCGGTCCCCGACGGTAGACACCCTCGAAGTTTCCCATCGAGGTCTGGGACAAGAAACAACTTCACATCACTACGGAAACAAAACAAAAAATCACGTGAAGCGAATTTCACTTAAAAGGAGGGTGGGGCACGGGGGTCACCTCATATTTAGGTTAACCATTCAGCGCAGCGAGGGAAGAATGACGACAAGAATTCTAGAAAACAAGAGACTGGTTTGTCAAACTCAACAAGCCGTCTGCCCACACGCGCTGAATCTTTGTCAATTCTTGACGAAAAGAGCATAAACCCCTTACCCGGCCCACGCACCCTATCCACTTAATTTCGCTCCTTGTGACATTTTTTCCGTTCAAAAATGTTATGAAACGGAAATGGCTTGAGAATATAAAGGAGGTGACACAAGCAGAAAGAAGCAGTGAAAGGCATTTAAATGGTAGCGTTTCGACGATGTCGAGATATCTTAAAAGGGTATCGACAAGAACATTGCATCAGGCAGAAGGTATTTTAAAGGTGACTAAAATGTAAAAAAAAAAAAAAAAAGGATTTTCTAAAAATAAATTTTTTTTGTTTCGGGCCTTTCTTCGAATATTGCTGGCTCGAGTTTCACGAGTAATATCTAACTCGTAGAGACCAGGGGAGAGCAGCCCGAGGCGCGAAACAACCCCAAGTGCCTGAAATACGTGCGCACTCTTTTGTTCGAAAAAAAAAAACAAAAAAACAGCGCCAACAATGAGGAAAAGTGTATATCCAGTCCGCCACGGCACAGGCGCACTGGATACGCACTCGCTATCTTACCGCCTTTCCAAGGAGGCACGACAGCACCTAAGGTCGGGATGCCGCAATACCACATAGTTGGCCGGAAGCACCAATAGGTGGCCAAACGCTGCGTCTGAGCACGCCCGTAGAAGGTGTCATCTACTCGAGGACAACCTGTGGCCATGCAGTCTTAAGTATGGGAGCGCGTACTTGATAGCCGTCTGGTTATCCTTTTTCGGTATGTGCACAATGTTTTTGGCGAGCCAACGCATCCGCCTTTTGCTTTTAGATGCGGAGAATCTCTTGCTCGGGTCTATGTCCCGAGGCGTCGTAGTCCGCACTCACACTACGCATGCGCAACTCTCCTCCTTCCCTCTCTCCAACAGCTGCGCGTTACTCTCTCCGCTCTCTCACTCTACCAGCTGCGTGCACTTCGCGTGCGTTCGCTTCTACTCACACCGCGCGCGCATGCGCAACTCTCCTCCTCTAGTCTCCTCTCCTTCAAATGTGAATATAAGCAGCGGTAGCGCGCTGCGCGCGTTCAAGGGGAGAAAGTGGCCGAGTGGGGTTACGCGTCTCAGCTGGGAGCGTGGAACGAAAGCTTGCGCTGGGAACCTCCTGGGTTCGAGTCCCCGCCGCCCTCGGCCGTTTCGATCTGGATGAGTTTCGCACCGGCACGCTTTCCTGTGATCACTACTGCGTGATGCACGTCAAAAATCCCAGGTTAGTGGTTGTACTGCTCTGGCTAAATTTCTCATCTACAGCTAAAAAAACGATTACCCGTCAAGGCGCATCTCCATCAAGGCTGTATAAACATAAAAAGCAAACCAATTTCTGCGCGCGTTCAGTTCACCGCTGTTGACTCCACTTCGCTCCGTTCCTCCGATGAAGTGTGATGGAACGATTCTCCGCATCACCCCATGGTTCCCCTCGGGAAGATGGTGTAATTTTTTTTTTGTTTTTCGGCGCAGATGCCGAACGCTTTGACGAGGGTTTTCTTCGGGCCTCTTTAGTTGCAGGCATTGGGCCCCTCAAAGCCGCATCGAATACTCTAAGCACGACTAAAGGGACTAGCTTGATCATGCCGTGACCTGGCGCATAATCTCCGAGTTCAAAGTACCTGCATGCGCAAGAAAACCGAAGAGGGAGATTTATCGCTCACAACAAGGTTGTTTCTTGTAAACGAATTGCAGGTCTTTTTGGTTGTGGACTCGCATTCAGGACGCAAGAAAAGCATGGTTCAACACCGAGAACAGTATGGTCGCAGCGTCCTCACGCAGAAACGTGCGCTTGCTTTCTCCTCTGACAGGACAGACCGAATAAAAAAAGAAGCGCGCGGATCTAGTCCGGCCAGATGGATCCCCCTAAGAAGAGAACTCAGGAGCCAACGGGATTAATTATACAACAAGCTAGATAATAATGCCCCTCCTCTGTTGTGCATATACATAATTACTTTACTGCGTTTTTATAAAATTTAATTATTGCTCCAGCTTATTATGTAGTGGACCTTATTTTTAAAGCATGGTCGTGTATTTGACTTCTTTTTATGTGTGGTTCATTAGGGACGGTTCTTATTAATCATAAAACTTCACCATCATGGTTGCGTTCAACACAAGTTTCTGAAGCTGTTAAAATATGCGCAGAAATCTACTCACTCTTGTATCCGTCTCTGGTGTCATAGTAGATGTCTAAGATAATGTAGTCGCATATGTCTACGGGTGGCAGAACTTGCCCCGCCATCTGGCTGAAGGAAGATCGTTTGGTGACTCCAGGTGACATAAGTAGGCAGAGGAGTGGAGGCTTGACTGAAAACAGTTTCGAACGGTCAACATAGAAAAAAAAAAGTAAGTTCAAAGCAATATTTTCATGTTTTAAAAATGTGCTTCTCACATCGAGCATGCTAGAAACAATAGCGGGTTCAGACAGCATAGACTGGCTGCAGGTAGCGGACAGTATCGCTAATATATTGGCGCCAAATCGGCCAGGTCGTTCTGATATTAGTCTAATCACACCGATGTCGGTGGGACATTAAATAGGTCGGTGTAAATCCATTGTATCATAATCTTTCTTCGGACATTTTTTTTTCAGTGTCATTTATGTATCAGCTAGCTAGCAAAGTATTGCGATTTTCTGGAAGTCTTCAAAGAGATGTTATAAACAAAATCACTCTCTTTATACTATTAGTTTGTCAGACGGAGTTACAAATCTTTGAGCGCAACCTCCTGTGAGAAAATAGGACGGGACTGTATATCACGCAAGCTGAAACCATTCTGACATTGAGGTTTAGTACCTGTGTGTGCGCGCGATTGACTTCCGTTTCGTATTCTGATGTAAAACCAGTTATAGTCGAGCGTCTAAAGAAACAGTACCTGTGGAAACAATCGAGTCAATGAATAATGACAGGATGCGGTTTAGAAACTACCGATAAATAATTAACGCATGGCAAAGCTATCTCCGGGATTCATGCCCCTGTTCCACTTGCAATTGCACTGGAGAACAATGATCACCGAAAAAAGGGTGGTTGAGATTAGATTGAATAAAAAGTTAAGGCATTCTCGACCCCTTAAGCGGGAAGCGCGTCTTTAGACGTGTCTCTGTTGTGACCTTGAAATTGGTAGCGCGTCTGAGACACCGTACTGATACGGTGTCTCAGGATAATGTCTTATGCAGAACTCATGGTGCACAAAATGGAGTAAGGATTAACTGCAAGCTACAGTCCAAAAATCGCCACTAAATATAAGAACTGTGACGGTATGGTGTGTACATGTTCCGATATGTGGTCTATTTTAGTTTAAGCCGTGCACTTCTTCGGGTGGCCGACAGCACTCCTCAATACCTATTCTTTAGTGATACTCACACGAGGGTTTTGGCGAAGTTGGTGGTGTTTGATCCGATGCTGAAAAGAGACCATATGCTAGGTAAATAAATATTAAAATTTGTTCACCATAATTGTGCAGATGCACGCTTTGCACTTCCGTACTTGATATGTATTTATCTACTTGAAAATGTATTAAAACCATATATGTCCTTATAGTCAAGCTTTTCGAGGTTCGCCCGCAATTACATGCTTGTCGGCTACACATAGTTTTCCGCATCAAAAGCATAGCAATTTCAACCAATAATATATTCATGATTAGTCGATAGGAAAGGGCGGAATAGTGGATGGCTAATTCCTTGACTGTCCTATAGAAGATGCTTAACTTTCAAATAAAGTGATGGAAAAAAAGGAATGAGAGTTAGATGAGCGACATCTTCATGTATTTATCATGCTTAGTGGATATTAGGTGAGGGGATAAGCGTTATGCTAAGGTGGGTACTTAACTAAAATGTGTTCAATACATTTTTGAATTATTCGTTTAATGAGTACTGTTGGAATTGGGAGATATCAGTCGCTCAACTTTCGCATTTATCACTCCTTTTAAAATTGCGATAAGAAAAAGCACAGCAAGCACTTTCGCAATGACGCTGGAAGGAGTGATGTAGCTGTTTCATTCAAGTCTTCACTTGAGTCATAAGCACGCCCTTAAATTGGTCTGGCTTCTAATAGTAAATGCCTTCAATATTGCGATTTAAAAAAAACTAAAACAATAATTAAAATTAATGAATTGATTTTAGGTAATTCCTGAAACCCACCATAATAATTACGACCTCATCTAATATCTGCCGGATATGAAACATTCCCGGGGCAAGCAAATTTCTTCTAACTCTAAAATGCAGTAAACAAATTGATTTAGATTTTAACGTTCTGTAGACTGCAAATTACTAGCCTCCTTAGGCTTTGAAGCATTGTTTGCAAATTTGAGATACCTTTGAAAATATAGCAATTCGCGTTTCAAGTTTTTTTTTTCTTTGCAGAGTAATATTTCTTGGACTATTGTTTTATTATTAAAAGTTTTCCTCGAAAGCGCAAATCAATATAAATCAAGACATCAGGTAGTTGCGACAGAGTCAAAATGTTGAGCACTTGTGGAAACGGAAAGGGCGCGACAAGTTACACATCTCTATTTAGTATTTTTTTACGTTTTGTATGAAATGTATGGTAAAATGGTAAAAGGCCTTACTACAAAAAAGTATTTTTTGATTGAGCTACAGGTTACCTTAAAATTAACTCTTTTAAGAACCATCATTTTAATCTTATGTATATTATCATTGCAACTCCGTTATCTAACACATATGTTGGCTACGTAAGCTGTGGACTTATGTGCATTGCAATAGAGTCAAAATAAAATAGAGCTTTAAATTGAAAGTATCATGAAGAGGAATTAATATAACTTGCTTGAAATCTTGTCTTCGAAATACATATTAAATTGAAACAAAATCGTTATATTTTGCCTTGCACTAAATACAGACTGTGGCAAGAAACTATTAGATATGCTGCCCATATAAAATATTTGCTCTAACATGAACATACAAAAAATGGTGTTGTGTCCTCTGACGTTAGCTGCCGGCAGCCTTTTTTTACAAGAAAATCCCATCGTACACACCTAATAAATTTATGATCACAAATATTTTAGGAATTGGTTTTGCAATATGCACTAACATGTTTTAGGAATGTATGGTAAAATTCAGACATATCAGATTATACTGTTTGTTGTCCAAAACAATGAGAAAAAAAGGGCGAGTGGACATAATTTTTGCAAGAAGGTGTCAAGGTGGTGTCGTTAACCTCTTATACTTTCTTGGGACTTCTAACTTCTCTTTTATCGATAAAAATGTCTCTTTATTTTGTTCAACGTGTTCACGATTATATTGCTAAAAGGTTCAACAAATAAACAATTCGATTCTCACATCGCAAGCAATAGATTTGTGAGCAATGATTCAGCCTTATTACTTCAACCTTTTTTGGTTGAAGTACGTTTTGGAAATCCAAGCTTAAATGGCGATCCTTTGCATCGAAAACTATTCCCAAATTATTAGTATCTGAGGCATCATCTCTTCGGCCAGTGTTCCATTTTGCACCATTTTTACGTGTAAAACCGACAATATAAACTAAAAATAAGAAATTAGAGCTCACTTTTCAATGGGAGTTTGTGCATCAACGTATTATTCGTCTCAACCATTAAGATTTAAAAATTGGGTTTGAGCTATTTGCTCCATTATTGAATAAACGGTTAAAAAGCGTGAACAAACGGGGACAAGAAAGAAAAACGAACGACATGACAGGCGCTTCGCTCTCAACTGATTTTTATTAACACGATTGTCACCTATATATATATACACATTTCCCAAACCACATCGGATTAAATCGCCATTAGCCGACCTTCCCGAAACACCATCTCACTCTGAAGCAATTACAAAGACGGAGCGCTGAAGGAATTGTTTGCTTTCTTTGTTATGTAGAATGCCTCTATATTCTCTTCGTTTTTTTTTTCTTTTGCTTTTCTTAAAAACTTTGTGCCAGTCAGGTCAGGCTCACACCCACATCGCCTACAATGGTCTTCGAGATGGTCCCCCGCGTTGTTCCAGACGCACAGATTTTGTTCTCGTGTTCTATCATTGAAGCAGCGCCCAGTCTGCCCAATGTAGACTTTGTGCCACAACTAAACGGAATCTCGTACACCGCATTGGTGACGCACGCAGTATATTGCTAAGCAAGTTTCTTGAAACACGGTGTTTTTTTCTGCCTTATCGACACAAGACATATCCTAGCAAGTTTACACGATGCCGAAAAAACCCCGTTACTGTCGTAGCTACCAGCTACCTTTTTTTATATTATGAGATGAGGTATGCATGTATGGAAAGAATTGCACTTGTTTCCTTTCTTTACTTGCCTCGCTGCCTTTTTTACTCCTTTTTAGTTTTTGAAGAAGGCTCTCAAAACAACTAGAGGTAAGAGGTTGGGGGGGGGGGGGGGGGGGGTACCCCGCGTCTCTTAACCTTTTTAATTTTTGTTAAAAACTGATTTTTATCTGATGACTGCAACTTTTTTCCAGAGCCGCACTTAGACATGTCAAGGCTATACCCCTCTTTACCAGTTTAGAGTGAGCACTTTCAAAGAAAACCAGGTTCTTCTTAGTGCGCGGACAATACTGTCAACAGACATGTTCTTCAGAAAAAAGGATCGAAATGTCTAAAAACTGAATGCAGGTATTCACAGGCAACTTCCAGGTAAAATTAAGTTCATCTGACACCTCCCTAAACACCTTGACAATCTTCTAAACCGCTTTCTCCAAACCCGAGTTTGTATCTAAAATAAAAAAAATAACGATCTACGTATCTATACGTCTTTGAAACATGAGAATCTGCAAGCCTATTTGAAATTTGCCGCTCCAGTGATGCCAAAAAAATGTCACAAAAAACAGGGGCAACTGTCGACCCATTGCACACACCAGACTTTTGTACAAAATATCGCTCGTCAAAACTGACGCAGTCGACTATGGATGAAAGACTAGCAGCTCCAAAATATGATCGCTGCTAACGCCCGCGGAACTTTCAAATGTAATTTCTCCAGACTGTGAGTGTAAACCTGACCTGACAGGCACAATGTTTTTAAGAAAGGCAAAATGAAAAACGGAAAGAGAGATTATGGAGGTATTCGACATAAGAAAGAAAGAAAACAATTGCGTCAGCGTCTTTGTATTTGCTTCGGAGTAAGATGATGCTTTTGGAAGGTCGGCTCTGATTGTGGCGATTTAGTCCGATATAGTTTGGTTTTTAACACAATGGTTTTAATGGTTATTAACACAATGGTTATTAACACAGTGGTGTTAATAAAAATCAGTTGAGGGTGAAGCGCCTGTCGTGTCGTC